ACCCACGTAGAAGGAAAGTAAAAGACCCAGCACTTGGTGATGGTGTCGTAGCTTGGGTGGGCGGCCACGTGTAGTGTGGCGTGGAATGAAGTAAAATCTGCTGAACCTCCGCAGGAGCTGGTTGAACGCAGGTCTACAGACATGTAGCGATTAGTTAACGTGTGCAGTTTTAACAACACTAGATAGGGTCTCACCTGGTTAAACTGGTAGCATTGAGGAAGTTCACGTTGTTGCCATACTTGTACAGGATCATCCAAGCCGATTCGCTCGGCGCGTTAAGGCACTTTGTCGTGAGGTAGTGCCGGCTCCTCATGGCGATTCTCCACGCATCCGCCATCAGCACGTCAAAAACTACACGTCGCACGTCGTTCAACTCCTCTTCTTGCTTCAGAACCTCTGCACAGATGACCAGCGTCAGGTCTACGTCGTCTGTGGCCTCGCTCGCCATCGTGGTGTTCACTTGCGCTCGACACGGGCCAATTTGAAAGAGCGCAAAATTCGAAGGGTGCAATTTCGCGTAGTGTCTGGCACAAAGTGTCGGGTACAGTTTTACAAAGTGGTATTTTTTATTGTAGCTTTTGATGTAGGACAGTAAGAACCGGACAAAACAAGCAGTCAAAATACATTTGTGGTAGAGGTTTCGAGAAGTAAGCCGTCATATATCTTTTTAAACTCTGACTTATCTGCTGCAGATAAGTCGGTCGTTTAAGTGATAATTGGCAGGCGCCCAATGTGAGCGGAAGCTCTGCATCATAAACTAAGATTATTCCATGCTGGCGCCTTCACTTTTGACTCTATATTTGAGACGGCGTCAGCCCAAATGATACTAATCAACCATTTGGAGTTTTCGAGATAAACGCGGTTAAAGTTGACCATCGATATTTTGTACGTAAGTGGATAAATGAGCTAGCGACCATTTTGACTTTTCAAAAATTTGATTTAAGTGTATCAGCAGAGACCAAGCTTCGAGCATGGAAGAACTTGCGGCGTACGCTTCTGGAGGGACTATCACCGACAGGCCCACGCCAACGCCACTGGACCCGCAACCAAGCAACGTGCCTCTCGACTCTGTGGCTCCAGTAGGCCAGATCGCCCGCGAAGAAGACGTTGCTACTGACTACAACGACAGGAACAGCAATGCTAGTGAAGCTAGCGACAGTGACGAACTAGTCGACAGCGGTGGTGAAGATTACACGCCTGACTCGCAAGTTTGCAGCAACGACGACGAGCCCCCGACAGCGGAGAGCGAAGGAAGCGGCGCGGAGGATGCTGAGGATATAGGTATCTATTTGATGGACCACGAGGTATTTTTGCTCGCTATTGTCTGTCAACTGCTTTGGCATCTTTTACGAAACGACGGCGCCCAGACCAGCTATCTGTACGACGAAACGGCCAGTGGCAAAGTAAGTGACCAGATTAACTCTATTTTGGAGCATTTTCTGAGGACGAAAGTACTTGCGGAAGGCAAGACCCGCCTGACTGTCTACGCAGACAACTGCTCGGGCCAAAACAAGAACAACTATGTCATAAAGTTCTTGTTGGCGCAGGTAGACATGGGGCTGCTGAATCACGTCGACTACAAGTTCTTTGTAAAGAGCCATTAAAAAAACTCGTGCGACCGCGGGTTCGGCCACATCAGAAAGCATATCGCCAATATCGATTGCTGGACGGTGCCGCATGTAGTAGAGGTGAAGGCAGCTGCATCAAACTCCGCGACGGCTCACATCCCACGTGGAAGCGAGCAGTTCAAGACGTACAAAGAGGCGTTGACGGAGTTATACAAGCGACTGGATGGAATACAGCAATTCCAAATATTATCTATGGACTCGTCCGAGTTGGGGGTGGTTTCTTGCCAAGAAGGACCTGATAACGATATTGTAAAGAAGAATTAGCGGCGGAAGGTTGACGGCGTGCTTACTACAAAGGAGAAGATGACTACGATGATGCAAGAATACGTGGACGTGCTGAATCCACCACCTCCGAACGTAGAGAAACGCGAAACGATGTACTACAGCATCAGACCGTACGTGCTACATGAATTTCAAGACGACTCGCTGTATGCCAAGCCGAGTGAGCAGGAAGGACTTGATGCGAAAGCGGCGAAGCAGGCGCGTCAGGCTCAC